AAGTGACCAGCAAGCCATGTGATTGCGTTTAACTTCGCCAGTTTTTGAAAGTATCAGAATTTTTGTGTCCACCTCCGCCCACATCGTAACACGCTGCAAACATTTAGAGACTTTCTCATGTATGGTGTTTGCCAACTAGTCTCCCATAGTTGTTGTCCAGTGTGGTACTAACTTTAGAAGCAGCAGCGGTGACAGGAGGTTTTTCCTCGTCTTCTGGGTGGAAACGTGGACAAAATGTGGTTTCATTGTGATTCTTGGTAACGTCATTTTCCCCTTTAACTTCATAGTAGCTGAAGTTATTCCAAACACTAGCTTTCAGTGCAAAAGTCCCATCTGGTGTGTGCACTCCATAAACAGTCCAGGAACTCCACTTTCACACGTTAAAGTTCCACCTTTTGCAGGACATCAACTTAAATATTAATCCTTTTTTTTTTTTTTACATTAATAAACCGGTTTAGAATGGTTTATGTCTGCATTGTGATGCATCCAGTCCAAAAAACAGATTATAACCTCACCCCTAGCTCAGAGTATGTGCTGGGAATGATTTCCAGCTTCTACCACCTCAAACTGTAGCTCAGTTTGTGTAAAACTGACTGATTTATTATAGCCGTACTGTGTTTGCTAAGGTTGATTAGCTATAGTAGCTCTCTTGGATCAGGTCGGCTTCAAAAGATAAATCAGCTGTATTACTTTTTAAGAGTTTCATTCAAATTTATTCGCTGAAAAATTATGCTAACAGACGCACACACACAAGTAATAACAAAATTGCCAGCCTTTCATTGCAGTGGGTGATAATGATTACAAAAAAAGTGTATCCCTAGGAACTAAACAAAGAAGTTTGTGGTGATTAAGGTGTAAAACTGAAGCCACTGAGTACTTTTTATCTTCAGATGTTGCATCGAATGTGAAAACACATTAGCCACATCAAAACTCCTTTTACTTGATTTTAAAAATGTGTTGCAAACCCATTCCACCACTCAATTATGCAACATGTGCTTTATAATACAGCGCCCTGAGACGACTTCTGTTGTGACTTGGCGCTATATAAATACGCTGAATTGAATTAATATGAATAAACCAGCTTGATAGTAATTTTACAGTGCAATATGAGCTGGCTCCTCTCACCTATATAATGCAACAACAACCCAGTGATGATTCAACATATGCCCTAATGGCTATAGCTGTACAGGAGCAATATGTTTCTCAGTGTTCTCTAAACTGACAGCATGCAACATTAACAGAAAAGCATCAGTGTGGCTCTCAGCTCCATTTGCTTGTGGTGCTTCTCGAGTGGGAGGATGTATCGATGAAAAGGAACATAGGTTAGACATGCAGCATTCATGAGGTCATGTAAAAATTAGGTTCATGTATCGATGTAGCCAATTATAAATGGTTGTTTCCCGGATTTGATCTAGTTCTCCACGAGATAGCCAACATTATTTGACGGCACACATATTAGTCTACTGAGAAGAACGCTTCATAAATTTAGATGCTTGTCTTTATATTAAATAACTTCAGAGTTTATAAGACATCACCCTTAAGCCTCCAGCTGACCTTCAAAGTCAATCTGGCTCCATTAGGCTTTACTGATTAGCTCCCGACCATTACTCGAACTACCAGCTCTCAGAGGATGTTTAATGCAGTGACTGACATTAACTTTCCACTTGCCTTCCCAAGTTTTCCTCTTTTATATGTTCCTGAGAGGAGCTGTTGCTGCAGTGTAAATGTTTGCAAAAAGGAAAATCACTGTATAGAAGTGAATGTTTAAGAGCACAAGGTAATATAATTACTATTATGTTTTATTTCCTCATGGCCGTTTAGGTTTTATCTTGTGAAAGATGGCATGCATTCTGCACCTCTCTAGTGACACTTCAGGCCCTTCAGGTCAGCACGTGTGAAGTTCAGTCCAGTGACAGTTTAGTTGTAACATTTCCTTCCACACAGCAGTGTCACAGTTTGCTCGCATGCCTTCATTTGCAGCCAAAGCTTGTAGTTTTCTCGTCATTTCTGAAAATTGTTCATCCTCTTCAGTTTTTTTTTTTTCATGTTGCCAAATGTAAAGCTTACCTTGGTTTGTTGTGAGTAGTTGTCACCTGCCAGTCTGAACAGGCTTTTGGCGTTAACTTTGTTAGAAAAGTGTCATGCTTCAGGTTTTCCATGGAGTTCTTTCTGGTGATTTGCAGAAATCGTGGTTCTTTGTGTTGCTTCATATTTGACTCGGCAGGAATTTTTGTAAAGATGACTCGTGCCAGTATATTAGGAGGGGGAATTCCTGAATATGTTTTCCTTCTGAACTAATAGACCAGCTTCCCAAGTTAAAGATGAACTTTATGCGGATTTTACTGCCTTTTTTTAATGTCCCAATTATTAAAATATAATTCGAAGGACAAGTCACAGTGAAGGTGAATTATCTTGTTTAATTCTGAAGATGCTATGTGGAAGAGCCAAATACAAGTATATGGTTGGATTTAGGTTTATTGTTGCGTTACTTGTTTAAACGTTATTTTATACAGAATTTAAAAGGCTTTGTGTAGAATTTGTAAAATAGTAAGACCTAACTAACTATGGCCTGATGGGGGCGAAAGAGCTTTAGACATTTACACAGAGAAGGCACTGCTGCTGCTCAAGTGTTGATTTGGTATCAAGTGAAAAAGGACAGGTTTAATTTGGATGTTAATTAAAATGTGACAAAAATATGTGCAAATGTGGGAGTCAAGTTTTATTTTTAAAAAATCCTTTAAAAAGTAAACTACCGGTAATTTTATTCTGTTTGGGCTTGAATTTATTTGCACAACATTATAGAAGACTTGTACATAACCGGGATAGCATTTAGACCTCGTAATCTCAAAAACTGTTTCGGAAACCTTGCAAATGAGTAAACTTGCATATAATTCCAGCATAAAAACATCTGTTGTGTTTGATACTCCCGTTCCAAGTTATTGTAAAGCTGTAATGTTCACATCAGTTTTTCTCATCTTATCTGTCAAATATTATGATATTGTAATAAATTTGTGACTCACACAGGCAGAAAATCTTGCCTAGAATGTCACAACTGTCAAACAATCACCACACACCAGAAAGTTACAAAAATAGTCTTTTTATTTGTGCATCTACTCTTAAGAAATTCCCAACCCAAGCTAAAAATAAAGGCCTATAATAAAGATTAGATGAGTTGGTCCACTTGGCTCACTTGGCAGCGAGGCCCCTCCCCAGGGTCTAAGCTTGTGATGTCGTCCAACACCTCGGGGATTGACTTAGCTGGACGACGATCAGACCTCCTGGATTGGCTCCACATTGGATCAGGGCGGGAAGCAGGAGCCCAGGGTGGTGACTGCACCCCACTAGAGCCCAGCCCTGACTGTATAAAGGAGGCACCCAGCCTCCCCTCCTGACACAGGAAAACCCAACCACCTGTCTTGGTCGCCGGCAGCCCTAAATGACTGGGAACGACACCCTCCCTCCAAAAGGGAGCTGCCACAACCACTGCAACAGCTCTCTCCTTCAACTGGTTTGAGAGACCTTTATCCAGTGTGCTGCTCCTCCACTGACTGAACACACCTGTCCTCAGTCAGTCTCCCCGCCTCCACTGATGAGCCCCGCCCAAGCGCGTCACAATATTCTCCATAGACAAATTTTGGCTGTTTGTTTTATTTTGAGTTATTTCTAAGTTAAGCAGGTCTGTGATATTGGCACGTGGGAGTTATATTTCTGGAGCCCACAACAAGTGGTCAATGAGCTTTTCAAAAAGAAATCTAACATTAAAATTGATCATTGGTTCACTATGGACAAAAATGAAAGAAAACAAACGACAAATACAAATAAGGCTGTATTGTTCTTTCCTATTTTTATTACCACTACTGAAAGACGCACGATAATGTTTGTGCATGTGTTTATTTATGTTTCTGTGTCTGTCTGTTATCAAAATATCTCATGAACCACCGAACAATTTTTTTTTAAACTTGCAGAAAAAACAATAATGTACATGTAATATCAAATAACATTTGGTGTCAATCAGATTCAAGATGGCTGCCAGCTGACCTTAAAGAAATAAAACAATGTCAATAACTCCATCTATAGATTTTACAGATGTTGAGCTACAATTTAGTGTCGTCTTAGCTGAAACAAACCCCCAACACACATTCTGAGCTCTAACCAGCTAAACTAGAACTTTTTTTTTTGTCAACAATTTATCATCACCTGTCTGTCAGCAAAATATCTCATGAACCACTGGATGGATTTTAATGAAACGTTCAGGACATAAATATTAAATTTACCCTTTACATCTGAATAACTTCTGAAGCCAGTCAAATTCAAGGTGGTTGCTACAACCATACTGTATGACCTTGGAAAACACAACATTTGTAATAATTCAGTAATGTTTTCAGATATTGTTTTAAAATTTGGTGTGGTTCTACCTGAGAGTCATTCACAATAATTGTTCACGAGCTTTGCTTACAATTTTAGTATAAACTGTTGGAGTTAACCTTGTTTGTCTGTTAGCAAAATATCTCATGAACCTGAACCAATTTTAATGATACCTTCAGAATGTAATGGCCTGTTGCACATCTGCAACTGATGGACTTCTGTAGTCAATACGATTCAACATGGTTGTCACAAAATGGCTTTATGTCAGAAAAAGTTGGATATTGAGCCAAAGTTTGATGATGATTCAAAACATGAACACTAACACGTTTCTAAAGATCTTGCAACACTGTGCAATTATACAAAGTTTGACCATAGGTGTCATTTCTCATTTTAGAACAATCTTAGTTTAAAACTCTGGCAAGAAGACCAATGGGTGATATGCATTCTTATAAAGAATGCTAGGCCTTTAATTAAGTAGTTATTTTTTTTTGCTGAATCGGTGACTAAACATTGGATAAAAGCGTTGTTGACCTATATTTCTACAAGAGATCAGCATCCAAACCGCCCTCCATATTGAACAGGCAACCAACCACGTCGGTCACGTGGGACAGTTTGTGATGACGTCATCAGGGCAGAGATTTGTGTTAGGAACAGCATAGCAGCAAAGAGCTTAGGAGCTGCGGCATTTTCTTTTAGCGTTTGCATCGTTCCTGCTCTCTCTTTTTTTTTTTATCCCCACCCTCACCAGAAGGAGAACAGAGTAGTATCTGTTCGACATTTTAGAGACCCAAATGCCCGGTCCCACCCAAGCCCTTTCCCCAAATGGAGAGAATAACAACGACATCGTCGAGGACAACGGAACCAACATCATCCCTTACAGGAAAAATACGGTGCGGGGCGAGCGCGCCTACAGGTAAACCAGTGTAGCGCCACATTGGTTGTTAAAAAAAATGAAAACAGACAACACACACTGCAAACAGAAACCCGCGTTCTGGACTCTTCTTCTTCGACGTTTCTTCACTTGCAGACACCCGCTGTCCTCCCACCCGTTAGCTTAAAGAGAGCCTCAAAATGTGGCGTGCATCGGTGTCAAGTCACTTTAAAATCGTCTTTGTCTACTACACAACTTCTCTAAAATGTTCGCTGGAAGCAGTGCAGTGTTAGGTGCTTGTTCTGGGATGACACAGGTACATTTTTAGGGACGGGGGGGATCAACATGGAGCTGCTTGTCAAATGACAGGACTAGAGTCATCCGCCGCTCTTAGAACATCACCATCGTTAAATAGTGCAGCGACTAAACACTTCATACTGTCATGGTTAAGGAGTGTTTGGTGACTTTATTTTTAATATGAATCACTGTGAACCGCTACAGCAGCTTAATTCTCCCTTCCCGGTAGAATCAGACATTAGCCCAGCCCTGGCAGGCTAACAAAGCATGCTAACAGCGGCGCATGCGCATACGTCCGCTTTGTTGACATAAGTGGGCTGGCCCAGTTTCCTTCAGTCTTCTGCACCACACACAGGTTTTATATATCGGTCTATAATAACTTAGGTTTTATATATCCTGGATGATTATGAGGAGTTTCCCTAATATTCTATATTTAAGCCCATCATCAGTGCAGCTGCTGTCCTTCCCCATGCCTGAAATGGGTTTCATAGAAGAAGGATTTTTAAGTGCAGTTTATATTTGTGTGCACGATGATGTAGATTACTAATGACTTCAGTTTAAACATGTACTGTTGTACATGTGCAAATGTAGCTTATGAAGGCTAAATTTTATATATATACCTGTGTATATATAGTAAGTGAGTTTCTTTTGGTTGCTCCCTTCTTCAGGGGTCACCTCAGTGAGTGAACTTGCATACATGTGGCAATTTATTTTACTATGGTTGCCCTTCCTGATACAACCTGGGCTCAAACCTGCAACCTCAAGACAAGGCCCCCTGACACTGACATTGTTGTTGTTGTTTTTCATTTACCCTTTATTTGTACAGGTAGTCTCACGAGAACTCATTTTCAAGAGAGACCTGTTTAGGGAGCAGATAGTGGGGGTTAAGGGCCTTGCTCAGGGGCGAATGAGGGTGGAGGCAGGTGTTTCACCTTTTCCACCCATATTTTGATGATGATGGTACCGGGAGTTGAACTGACATATTTTGTGCCAAATTCTTCCCTTTAATATAATAGTGTAAAATTAAGGAGGTTTTCTTACGTAGTGTTTTTATGCTTTTGTGAAGCAGTTTTTTTTTATGACTCAGATATTTTCATACATCTTTACATTGCTATGGAAGATTTTTTTGCCATGTGTCCTTTGCTCATCATGGCCTAAAAGGGTCCAATTGTTCTTCTCATCACAGAGTCCACAAACCTTGATTAATACTGAAAAAATATATCATGATAACAGTAAAGTATTTAGACTGACATATTTTATGCTTTGTCTTGTCAAAAAGGAAATAATGTTTTTAGTTGTGTTTGTGTGTATGTGTTTGTCTGTAAAGTTAGCGAAATATTTCATGAACCAGTAGCTATATGAAACTTTCAGGGACCAATCGCTGAATGTGATTCTCCAGAATTTAAGAATTATCCACAATTCTCAAAAATTCTAGAAAAACTGTTTGTGACCAGATTAGATACATTTATTACTAAACAAAACATTCTAAGTAGCAGTCAGTATGGGTTTAGAGCAAAAAACTCTACATCAATGGCTCTCATGGAAATAATGGAACAAATAACTACTGCTGTCGATCAAAAACAGTATTGTGTTAGTATTTTTGTTGATTTAAAAAAAGCATTCGATACTATTGATCACACTGGTCTCCTTGAAAAATTAAATAAATATGGTATAAGAGGACAAGCATTACACTGGGTATCTAGCTATTTGAAAGATAGGAAGCAGTTTGTACAAATAAATGGTGTAAGATCTGACCTGTGCAATATCACTTGTGGAGTTCCTCAAGGCTCTGTACTTGGACCAAAGTTATTTATTTTATATGTGAATGACTTAGTGAATGTATCAGGACTCCTCAAATGTGTCCTTTTTGCAGATGACACCACATTTTTCTGTTTGGGTAAAGATGTAAAACGGATGTTGGAATTGATGAAGACAGAATTTGATAAAATACAAACTTGGTTTAAACTTAATAAATTATCATTAAATTTAGAAAAAACTAAATACATGATATTTAGCAACAAAAAGAGAACTGTTGATGATCCATTTAAAATTGAGGGTGTTGAGATTTGTAGAGTTAATGAGATGAAATTTTTGGGTGTAATCATTGATGAACAGCTAACATGGAAAAATCACATCAATTCTGTAAGAACAAAAATATCTAAATCTATTGCAGTACTATACAAAGTCAGGGAATTATTAAATGATAAAGCTCTGTACATGTTGTATAACACAATCATTGTTCCACATTTAATCTATTGCATTGATGTTTGGGGGAAAGCGTGTAAAACATTTACAAAACCTATTTTTATTTTACAGAAAAGAGCTGTAAGAATTATCACCAGAAAGCATTACAGTCACCCATCAAGCACATTATTTTATCAACTGAAGTTATTGAAGTTCCATGATTTGGTAGATTATAGTATTTTATCAGTTATGTATAGGGCTCAAAATAACACATTACCGTTAAATATCCAAAGGAATTTTGTTAAAAGACAAAGTTGCTACAATCTTAAGGGGATAGAGATATTTGTCAAACCAAAATTCAGAACTAGTCTGAAGGGAAGGTCTACCTCAATCCAAGGAGTTGGATTGTGGAATGGTCTAGAGAGTGATGTGAAAAATGCCAAGTCAATGTGTACATTTAAGAAAAAAATCAAAACTGAATTGTTAAAAAAGTATATATGAAGTAGCTTAGTGTGTGTTTTGTATTAGAATTAGAAAAATTAGAAAGTTATTCATTTTGTACTGTTACTTGAAAACTATTATGTCTGAAATAATTGTTTGTAAAAAGGGGCAGATATAATAAGATTTTTTCTTCTTTCTGCTGCCTTTCATTTTAAATCTTTTGTATCTTTTTTTATATTGTTATGGAATTGTTTTGTACTTTTTTAAAATGAATAAACTATATACCATACCATACCATACCAATGTACAGCTACAACTAATTAACTTTTGGAGTCAAACATATTCGAGATAATAGTTAAGCAACTTCAAAGACAAAAATGGCTATAACTCTGTCAATGTTTATACATATTAAGCTAAAGTTTGATTTGATGGTTACTGAGAGTCATCCTCAACTCCTTCATGTGCTAACAGATCACAAAATGTTATAAGATCATGGTTTAACCAAAACAGCTATAACTTTGTCCCGTCTCATCATTAAAAGGATCTTAAGAATATTTTATATAGGGGTTATGAGTTACTATACCAAGTTTGAAATGTGTCTTTCCCAAATAACTGTAAATCTGGTAAGGCTCCGGTGTCCCAGCTTTTCACCAGTCTTGAACTTAGCATTACTTTTGCAAATCTGGAGTGGTAAGAAAATCTCAAAAGTCACATTCACAGGTAGCAGATCTGTGCGCTTGTGTTGACTGATTCGTCCACAGCAGGGTTTGTTCACGTGTATTTGACCATTTTGTATGTGCATAATATCTCTACTTGTACAAATGAAAATGTGTACATTTGGAAAAATTGTTTATGCGTTGTGAATCTTGTAGGACGCATTAGTAAAACTTGTGTTACACTTAAACAATACAAAACTATGCATACAATCTTGTGGCATGCTTGTGTGACTACATTTGAGACAGATTTATCTTCATAGATAGTGGGTGATGGGAAATCCTTCCAGGAATGTTGGGCCTTTAATTATATTTTTTAGTTGGTCAGCCGCCCATCTATACGTTTTATGTACACTGTGAAAGAAGCACATAATCTGGTTTTTAAGTGAAGTAGTGGAATAAAAAGCACAGATTGGCTGCCATGTGGACAGTTTGTGTAAACAGCCTAAGCTGTAGATTAAGGATCAAAGTTTGAGTTGCTTTGTGTTTTGCTGTTTCGTTGCATCGGTTTGGTATGCAGGCTTATGGTAGGCAGATCCAGGACAACTGACTTAACTAACAACTTCTGCAGTGCTACAAATTTGTGCATCCATTTTTATTTTTTGGCTTAAGTAATTATTTTGTCATTATGCTGATTCAACTTGTTATATGAACATAATGTATACATAAATCCAGCTGAGCACCAGTAAATAATTCCAGACATAGATTTTTTTTTAATAGATTTTTTTATGTGTCCCAATCCGTTTCGTTTCCGTAAGCTGTTGGCACACTTGATTAAACGAAGTGTATTGACTGGATACCAGTGGATTACATGAGGTGGTGTTCTGGCCACATGTAACAGTCAGGGCTTGGGGGTTCACAATAACATTTTGTCCCTGGGCCTTTTGGTTAATCTGTCTGGATTTCTTGCATGACCTCTAAATTTTTTAATTTTAGTGAATACCTAATGTTTAATTTTAAAGTTGGTTTGTCCTCTCAGATGAGTCTAGTTCCTATTAAATGGGCTTTTTGAGTAAAAGAGATGCACTGTTTTTCTCGGTATTAGTTATATGTTTGGAAATCATAATTCATTTCAATATCAGATTTGTTTTCAGGTAACTGGCTTGAAGCAGAAAGAAGTTGGACGTTTGTTCAAGATGCATTGTTTTGATATTGGGTGTTATTTATTTGTTGCAGTTGGGGGATGGCGGTCAACGTTTATTCTACCTCAATAACCCAGGAGACTATGAGCAGGCATGACATCACTGCCTGGGTTAATGACATCCTCTGCCTAAACTATACAAAAGTGGAGCAGCTCTCCTCAGGTGAGAACCTATTGAAAAACGGTCATTTTTCCTCTGTTTGAAACGTGTTTTTAGATATTGCATCTTTGCAGGTAATGCATGGATGGGGCTGGGGCCAATAGATTTTAGTGTCAACAAAGTTGAAGCAACCTGTGGAAACTTGCTCACCTCTCTGATAAAGTGTTGTCTATAAATAAACCAGTAGTCTGCTGCGCTCTCCTGCTGTGGCCAAGTAATCCAATTTCATTCACTTGCTGCTTACACACACACACGCACACACACAGCTCCCATTTCCATAAGGTGCGAGCTAATTGTTTCTTTATGAGCTCCCTGTTTTAGATTCATATTTAGCGCCTAATATTGGCTACATGGAATTTTTTTTTTTTAAGGAACTGTTTTGGTGATATAAATGTAAATATCTGAATCATTCTTTCTGGGGGACTTTAACGCAATAAGATTGCAATGAATATAAAGGTGGACTCAGCTGCCTATAATGCAAGAATGTGCTGCATATTCTTTTTAAACTGTATTATTTCTGTAGGAGCTGCTTATTGCCAGTTCATGGATCTGCTCTTCCCTGGCTGCATCAGTCTTAAAAAGGTCAAGTTTCAAGCTAAATTGGAGCATGAGTATATCCACAATTTTAAACTGCTGCAGGCATCCTTCAAAAGGATGAACGTGGACAAGGTGGGTTTCCAAAATGTTACAATGTTGTTTGAATCTGAACAGATCCTTTCTTGTTGTGGCTTATGATTCACACAGTCTTCCCCCCCCCCCCCCCCTCCCCAAGATTATTCCTGTGGAGAAACTGGTTAAAGGCAGATTTCAAGACAATCTTGATTTCATCCAGTGGTTTAAAAAATTCTTTGATGCGAATTATGATGGAAAAGAGTATGACCCGGTTGCAGCTAGACAAGGTCAGGATGCCATTCCCCCACCTGATCCAGGTGAGCAAATCTTCAACCTGCCAAAGAAGTCTCACCACGCAGCCAGCTCTCCTACTGCAGGTAAGGTTCAACTGCAGTTCGAAAAATATTAACACAAAGAGTCCTGTGATTATAAAATCTCAGTTTTAGTTAGGTTTTAAATTTTTCATTCTAATCAACCTCGTATGTGCTGCAGGAGCATCAAGGTCGAGTGCTACTACTCCGAAATCTTCAACACCAACATCTAGACCTTCATCAGCTAAAAAGATACCTGCAGCTGCTGCAACTCCCGCCAAAGGAGAGAAAGAACTGGAAGCACAAGTCACACATCTTACTGAGCAGGTATGAACACCAACCCGAACAAAGCAGGTCTGCCTGTAAGTTATGCAACCTACCAGGACTGTGCTTTAGTCTTTTCATACTTTGTTTTGTATGTTTCTGTACTGCATGTGCATTTACTGTATATCTGACTTCATTTGGACATTGGATAGCGTTTAACATTACGCACTGCCTAATTATTTTTGCTTTATATATCTAATTTGCCTCTTCATATTGCTCAGTTACAATCGTTGAATGTTTTAGCTTTATGACTACAATCCCTGCTGGCTTGGAGACATACGGGTGAAATCTGTTACATTTAAAAAAGTCAAGTCAGGTCCTCAAGATGGGTTAAAAAACCTGTAGAAACGTATTGTCTTTCATCTGAAAGACTTCTTCAGTCTGAGGAGCTGTGTTCAGCTCAGTCATATAAATAGCACCTTCTCATAGTGGATCAACCAGTTTGTTGCTGACGTTCAAAACCATCAAAACTAACATGATCAAGAAGGACCATTAGTTCCCTGATGGCTGCTTGCTATTCACAGAGAGTTTAGTGATACTAGCAATCACAGCATTGTAAGAGGGGAACAGTTGAACACGGACGCCTCCACCCCTGTTTAATGATGGACGATTTCTCTTCACAAAGATAGCCTCCTTTACTCCTCTCTCAAACCATCGTTCCTCTCTATCCAAGATGTGAACATCTTCATCCCTGAACGAGTAACCGCTGACCTGCAAATGAGTGTAGACCACATAGTCTTGGCCCTGATGAAACCGTCCATCATTAAACAAGGGTGGAGGCCTCAGTGTTCACCTGTCCCCTTCTTACAATGTTTTTATTTCTAGTATCATTCAGCCCCCTGTCAATAGCAAGCAGCCATCAGGGCACTAACGAGCCATTGTTAGGCTGATGGTCTTCTTTGATCATGTTAGTTTTGATCATGTGAACATCTAGTTTTGGTTATCAGCAGCAAACTGGTTGATCCACTATGAGAAGGTGCTATTTATAAGTCTGAGCTGAACACAACTCCTCAGCCTGAACTTTACTGAAGAAGTCTTTCAGATGAAATAATAATAATAATACTTTATTTATAAAGCCCTTTAAAACAACCACAGCTGCCACAAAGTGCTGTACATATAAAATCAAGAACATTTAAACACATAAAAACAGTTGTTAAAACATTAAGATCAATAAAAATAATAAAAACAGTGCAGAGCAAAATTCAGTGTGTGTTAAAAGCCAGGGAGTAAAAATGTGTTTTTAAAAGAGTTTTAAAACTGGACAGTGAAGGGGCTCGTCTGATGGGAAGAACAGGGAGATCGTTCCACAGTCTTGGAGCAGCAACAGAAAAAGCTCTGTCCCCTCTGAGCCTCCGTTTAGACCTCGGCACCTCCAGGAGCAGCTGATCTGAGGCACCAAGCAGGAGAGTATGGGTGAAGCAGCTCAGAGAGGTAGGATGGACTAAGACCATTTAAACTTTTAAAAACAAATAAAAGAATCTTAAAATGAACTCTAAAATGAACAGGCAGCCAGTGGAGTGAAGCCAGAGTGGGGGTGATGTGCTCCCTTTTTTGAACTCCAGTTAGAAGCCGAGCAGCAGCGTTCTGGGCCAACTGGAGGCGTCTGAGGGAGGACTGGCTGACTCCAAGGTAAAGAGCGTTGCAGTAATCCAGCCGAGAGGTGACGAAGGCATGGATTAGTGTTTCCAGCTGTTGTTTTGTAAGGATAGGCTTTACCTTAGCCAGCTGTCTGAGGTGATAAAAACTGGTCTTGACCACCGCTCCAATCTGGGAATCTATTTTAAATCACTGTCCATTTTAAAACCCAAGTTAGAAACAGTTTTCTTTACATGTGGTGCCAGAGGGCCCAGATCGACAGGGCAAGGTTCACAAGAGCCACTAGGACCAAACACCATCACTTCTGTTTTCTTTTCATTGAAGTTTAAGAAGTTTAAAGACATCCAGGCTTTGATGTCTTCAAGACACAACAGAAGTGGCCTAATTGAGGGGGCATCTTTCTTTTTTAGTGGCATATAGATCTGACTATCGTCAGCGTAACAATGAAAAAAGATCCCATGCTTTCTAAGGATTGATCCCAATGGAAGCAGGTAAAGGGAGAAAAGCAGGGGACCTAAAATAGAGCCCTGTGGAACCCCAAAACACAGAGGAGCAGTGGAGGATTCAGACCCAGCTATGTTGACAGACATGGTTCTGTCTGCCAGATAGGACCTAAACCAGCTCAGTGCAGTACCACAAATACCCACTTGGCGCTGTAAGCGTGATATTAAAATGTTATGGTCCACGGTATCAAAGGCAGCTGTTAGGTCGAGCAGGACAAGAACCACATGTTCACCAGAATCATTAGCCATAAAAATATCATTAAAAACTCTGACTAGAGCTGATTCTGTGCTGTGGTGAGTTTTGAAGCCAGACTGAAAAACCTCTAGGATATTGTGCTCATCCAGAAAACATTTGACCTGTGAATATACAATTTTTTCTAAAATTTTTGAAATAAAAGGCAGCTTGGAGATGGGCCTAAAATTAGCCAAGACAGTTTGGTCTAGGCTAGGTTTTTTAAGCAGGGGCTGCACCACGGCATGTTTAAAACTTATTGGGACAACACCTGAGGACAGACTGCTATTGAAAACAGCAAGAATCACCTGCCTAATGCTGGAAAACACCTCTTTTAAAAGACGAGGGGGGACAAGGTCACGAGGAGAACCTGATGGTTTAATATGGCCGACCACATCCTCTAAAAGGGTCAAGGTCACTGGTTCAAATCTATCGAACACAGCCAGGCAGGGGACCAAGCAGGAGGGGTCAAAAGCAGGGGCTGAAATAAGAGCCCTTGTGGTAACAACCTTATTTATAAAAAACTGCAGGAAGTCATTACAAAGTTCAGTAGAGGCTTCCAGACAGACAGGTTGTGGGGCCTTCAGGACAGAGTCAATAGTTTTAAAAAGGACACGTGGATTATTATGATTGGACACAATAATATCTGACAAGTGTTGTTTTTTGGCCTCTTTAACAGTGTTCTGGTACTGACGTTGACAGTCCTTTAAAATGTAAAATGAAACCTCCAGTTTATCCTTTTTCCATCTCCGTTCAGCTCTGCGGCACTCCTGTCTGGCTGCAATAGTTTTTTCATTAAACCAGGGTTCAGATTTGGCTTTAGGCCGCACCAGTTTAGATGGAGCTACACAGTCCAAAATGGTTTGACAGGAGGAGTCAAACCAGGAGCTCAGCTGTTCGGTGTCAGCAGCAGAGCCAGAGGGAGCACAGAGCTGTTCAAAGGCAGCAGAGAACTGGCCAGCAGTGGAAGGGTTAAAAACTTTACGTCGCTGGGCAGGAGCGCAGGATTTAACTGGAGCACAGGACAAACCAACATCAAATAAAACAGGCCTATGGTCAGAAATCACATTATCATATAGTTCCAGGTCGTTCACAAACAAGCCGTGAGAGAGAACCAGGCCCAACGTGTGTCCATGTTCATGCGTGGGACCAGCCACCCACTGAACCAGGTTAAGAGTCAGTGAGGCTGAGAAAGTCCTTCACCAGTGGTTTCTCTGGGCAGCAGACATGTATGTTAAAATCCCCAACAGTAAGGACTCGATCATAGTTTATCATTATTCCAGTCAGGAAATCAGAAAAGTCATTCAAGAAATCCTTATTATATTTAGGGGCTCTGTAGATGACAGCGCACAGCACGGGTTGTGAGCGACCCACCTCAAATAAAGTCACCTCGAAGCTGGAGAATGAAAATGGTGCAGAGCACTGCTTGCATTTAAAGTTGTTTTTATAAACCACCGCCGTTCCTCCACCACGACCTGACATCCGAGGGGAGCTTAGATAAGAGCAGCCGTCTGGTAGAAGTTCAACAAAAACACTGGAGTCATCAGCCTCAACCCAGGTCTCTGTGATGCAGAGCAAATCCAAATGACGGGAACTGAAAAAGTCCCGCAGGATGAAAGTTTTGTTTGTCAGAGATCTGGCGTTCACCAGGCCAATCCTGGCAGAAACCGCAGCATGTAAACTGACGGGCGCTAGGGCCCGGGGCAGCGTCTTCAGGCTCTGCAGGTTCACTCTGCGCCGGTGGAGCCGAGAGAAGCAGGAGGGGTGGGGGCAAACGCCTGCATCCAGGCGGGTGACAGGTAGCAGGCAGCTGTCAACAGGATCCAGGAAACACCAAGGTACAGCGAAAGACGGAAATAATCCATTTCTTGTCTGAGAAATGGACGTAGAACGGGCCAGGCAGATCTTTAGTTTCACCAGCTGTCCTCCACGTTTACCGCAGTAACGACGACGTTTCCGCCGGGGGGGCAGCGCAAGTGCCCGGAGGAGATGAGCTGGAACTCCTGACAGGAGCGGGGGTAAAGTTTTCTGTCCACCATAATCAAAGGCATTGAGATTGCCAACAACATGTCGAATATCCAGGAGGGACTGGCGATTGTACACAAGCACAGACTTAGTGCTGAGCACAAAACAGAGAAATAAAACAAACCAAACCAAGAGTGACAGACGGACGGCCACACACACTGGCGCCATCTTGAATTTATTTTATTTTCATTCATTCAACCTTTATTTAGACGGGTAAATCCCATTGAGCCTCGAGGACTCATTTACAAGAGAGACCTGATTTCAACAAAGAATGATGACAACAATGGACAACAGCAACAACAATAAACAATTATAAAAAGTAGTACTGCAGGTTTTTATTTTTTTATTTTTTACAAATAGGATGGCTAAAAGAAAAAGGTAACAAAAAAAACAGCTAGATTCTAAGGCGAATGTAGAAAACTAAAAACAGGAACATGTCTGCATTGGTCCCTGCCAGGAGTCCAACAGATTCTTAAAGCCACTTAGAGAGATCAAGGCCGAGAGCTTCAAATCTTTTTGTAAGATATTCCAGGAAACAGGAGCGGAGTAGGAGAAGGCCCTTTTACCAAGTTCAGTTCTCAATGAGGGAACACTGCAGGTAATAATGTCCTGAGAGCGCACGCTGTAGCTGCACTCACGCAGAGACATGTAGGAGGAGATGTATGAAGGCAGCAGACCAAGAAGTGATTTAAAGATGAAAATGTACCAGTGAGAGAGTCTGCGTGAAATTAATGATAACCAGTTAGCCAGTGAATACAGGGTGCAGTGATGGGTACGGTAGTTACAGCCAGTTATGAATCTTAGTGCACCATGATAGACAGCATCCAACATCTGCAGGGTTCTTGTAGGAACGTTCAAGTAAATAATGTCACCGTAATCAATGGAGGGAAGGAAAGTCACAGACACAAGGCGTTTTCTAGCATTCAGGGTTAGACAGGATCTGTTTCTGAAAAAGAAACCCATGAAAGACAAATACTACAATTTTTTGAACCCATCCAGAGATCCTGACTAATCATAATTGTCAAACTTAAAAATACACCTGTTTTTAAGCTGCACATATTAAATATAAGATGAATCATAATTTTGAACATAAATAAGATGCCGTGGATATGAAGCTGCGGGCATCCACTATTCATCCACTGTTGTATGTGAAAGTGTGCCCATCTCCATCAGTGATGTTTCTTGTAATACAAGAATCAGCTACTTGATGGTGTTTACAGACTATGGCTTGCTTTCAACATATGCTCAGACTGAATGATCACAAGTCTTCATGAAGCTTCTCTATCTGATTCATGGTTACAACTATTATACCTTCAAAATGAAGAAAAATAAATATCTAGGCATAATCACTGGACATAACTGAAATTATTTAAAAATTATTTACCGGAAAATATTACCCAGAAGACTTAATGAGGTCATGTGACCAGAAGTGAAATAGTACAGATAAAATGTGGTAAATATTCATTAAATTACTGGTAGTACCACTGATTTTTGTTGTTGAACAGTATTGGTATCAGCTGCTGTTTTTAAATCTACTTTCTAAATTATCCTATCTTTAATAAATATGACAGGAGTTCTCCTCAGTGCTAATGAGCAGGGGAGAGAGTAAGGGAGAACAGCCCCACCCCCGTCTCCACCACTCAGTTTCATGCGTGACATGAGATTAAATGAGGTACTGGTATTTAAACACATTTACCGTAGACAGAATGATTTATTTAAACTTTGATTTACATATGTACCAGTTGACTAACTGCTTTAAAAATAAACCTGACGACTTCTCTGCTGAGCTCACGTGAGGGGGAGGAAGTGGGAACAGCCCCTCCGGTTCGTTGTCTCCGCTCCATTTAATGTTCGGATGTGAGCTTAAAATGAGATCTCGGTGTTTAAACAAACATGTACCATACATAGAAAGATGTCACACTGAAAGAATTTTAAAACTTTTGTTAAAATATGTACAGACTTGACTGCTAAGACTACTTCCGCTCAGCAGAGCCCACATCGTGACCAAGGGGAGGGGGGACAGCTTTAACACGGCTCAAAAAAAAAAATGTAAAAAGTACCAATGATCGATCAGAAGTCACTTATCGCTCTGTTCTCCGTCCTCCTGTGCACTGATGAAAGTCCTCATCGTCAGTGTCAGAATTGAAGAGGCTCAAAAAAACAAAAACCATTATCACACACCGGCTCCCTCTCGCTCTCCACGTCACTCCCTCGTGCTGTCCGCATCATCCCGCAGCAGTCCAGCCAAAGTCTGTGCTGTGCACGGGGCGTAAAATACAGTAACTGATCTGAAGAATCTGGTGCTTTTTTTTAACCTTTGCTTACTGTAAACAGGAAGCCTCATTAATGCATGTGTATTATGGAGGATGTGTCAATGACAATATGTCACTGGTCATTAAGGTTAGACTTCTGGCCACGATGTCAGAGTGGGTGGAGTTATGATTGTGAATTTGAAACCATGAGCCAGAGTCGTCGTGCATCTGATTATCTCTCTGTGTCACAAACCTGCTGTCATGAGTGGAGAGGTGCTGGGAGCCTTTCAACATAAAATACCAAAAAATGTTAAATTATGAAAAAAAAAGTACATAAATAAGATACTACTGCATATAAACCATGGGGTACAGAGTGTGAGACAAAAGTATCAGCATATGCAATGGCAAATACGGTAACTTTCTTTAGATATTTCATCCTGGATTATTGAGCATGCATCAGGAAATCTGTTACAGTTTACCTTCTTTAGGGAGGATATGACTGTTTAAAAATCCGATTTTGTGCTATCAAATAAACTGAAACAGAACATGTCAGGTCAGGCCCAGACTCACCATCCAGTTTGGACAACAAATCTACAATGGACTTGCACTGCAATTTAATTTATAAAGCAAACCCAAAAGGGGAGAAAAAAATCCAGTTGACAGATAATTTCCTTTTTAAGGCACAGCACACAGTTCATATATTGTAGCTGTTCTGCTGAGATTCACCATGTTTGAGCAATGCCAAGTTGTCATCCAAGAACAAAGATGGCTCCAGCTTGAGTCATCTCTACAATGGCTAGAAAACATGGTTGCCAAAAGTCAAACCTTATCCTGTTTTCTTTCTCTGTGAAGGAGCAGTAAAATAAGGCTAAATAATAACTGAATACTTTAATTATGTATTTAATGATGTTTTTATTATTTAAATGATACATTTCATTATTATGTATTTATTTATTTATTTCATTTTTTCACATTCCGTCCTCCATACACAACATGCTATATTAAATTAAAGATATAATGTGGAGTTTATTTTATTCCTATACTTAGTTATTTAGCAACATATTGTCAAGGTTGTCTCTGGACTAATTTAGTCTGTTTTTCAGAGTTTTCTGGCCCTTCGCTTGTTCTGGTGATTTTGCAGCAGCTCATCTTTCTGACTGCAACCAGAGATGGATCATGTGGGTCTAGGTGCTTCAGGAGTTAACTTTTATATTTTTCCCCAGGTAAACGCATTAAAATCGGCACTAGAAGGAGTTGAAAAGGAGCGGGATTACTACTTTAGCAAGCTGCGAGAGGTGGAGCTGCTGTGCCAGGAACAGGGTGAAGAATACGCTCCGTTTGTCGATCAGCTAATGGAGGTGCTTTATGCCGAACAGGTCAGCTTGTGATTTGATCTGAACGCTATTTGGGCATTTGTGTTTATGCAGCAGTTGTTATTGAAAAAAGATGGACATTACTGTGTTGACAGTGGTAAGAATTTAGTATTTTGAGTAATCTAAGTGTCAGCATCTCGTTTTATTAGGATCGAGCAGAGCTGGCTGAGGGGGATGGACAGGAAACGAACGAGGACGCCCTCGAGGGAGCTTCACATGATCAGCAGGAGGAACAGGATGAATACTGACCACCATCATCACCCCTTACTACAGTTACGCCCCTCTTTTTAAGATGTGAGAACTGTCAAGAATTTTATTTTTTCCTCATGGTTTTTGTTCTGCTCCGGTTTCCTCCCACAGACCAAAAACATGCATGTTAGGCTGATTGGTAACTCTAAATTGTCCCTAGGTGTGAGTGAGAGAGTGAATGGTTGTTTGTCTCGTTTGTCTCTATGTGTCCCTGTGATGGACTTGCGACCCGTCCAGGGTGTACCCCGCCCCTCGCACAGTGATTGCTGGACATGGGCACCAGCGACCCCCGTGACCCAAAATGGAACAAACGGGTAAAGAAAATGGATGGATGGATGGTTTTTGTTCTCTCTGAGACTGCGCACATAAAGCAACTCCTGGATAGAAATACCGTCACAGAATAATTAGTTGGGGGGTTTTTTTTGTATCTCCTTGCACACCATTCAATGTTTTTGTGACATTTGGTGAACTGCTGAGAAAGGTTTGTGTTAATGATCTCTACTGGCAGACGAGCTCAGACCATCACAGAAGTTCCCAAGGACTGTGTGTGTGGAAAATCAATTCATATTCTACAGTAGATGTGATAAATTGGTGATGTTTAGACAGGTAAGTTACCTGTCAGTGCAAGTGTTAAACTATAAGCTTTTGTCCTTTTTATTTGGTACTATTTCATATCAATAATAATTACAGGAATGCAATAAGCAAAGCCCTGGAAGGGCTCCTAGTAGCTCTTATTTAACCGTCTCCCATAGGTTGAACTGATGTTGACTCTGTACTGGACAATCGTCCATAGATATTCACTGTATTTATTATTATTATTATTATTATGTTTAAGCCTTAGAAATAGTGCAAAAATCTACATTGCACTCTGTGTGAAAGAGAGTAATAGAGTCATTAAATAGCGAATAAAAGTGTAGTGAAGTGCCAGCTTGAAACAGCTGTGGCAGCTGCCCTCAAAAATCCAAGATTTCAGATAATCAATGTGTTGAACAAATAGGTGATGACGCTGTACAACTAGACTTGACTAGTTTTATAAGGAAAAAGCGATTTCAACCTCAGCAGGAACTGTCTGTTCAGATTTCTGGCGTTTTTCATATATTTTATTTTAATTTTTATTGAAACCACAAGTCTTAGGCTGATGAATCAGTTCACTGCGCAGCTTGTCTCAATATATTCCAATAAGTGCATCGTATACCCATTCTTAATATTACATTTACTAATACTGCGCTGGACAGAGCACCACAATGCTTTAGTTAAATATTGTGTAAATGAAAAAGGAATGTAAACATGTGCTGTTGATAATTAATGAATGGTAAATGTATTTTTTTGTTTCCGTGTCCCACTCATTATGCATTCCCCAGAAAATGTGTTGCATGTTTGCATTTTATTTGTGAATAACTTGACCTGCTTTTTACATATTTAATAAAAAACAGATATGTTAAGTGAGCTTTTGTTTGTTTACCGTGCTATTTGAAATATAAGTGGACTAACTTCAAACTGATAGTGATCGCTATGCCAAACATTCTGACGCATTTGATTTTTTTTTTTTTTTTGTATTCATTTCAGTTTATTTATATAGCACCCAGTCACAACAGAAGTCATCTCAGGGCACTGAACAGAAACATGTGTATAAAAAATAACTTAACAGTATTTATCTGAGGAGCAGACTGCCTTGAATTTAACCATCACAGACTCTCAACTTGAGCAAGCATGAAGGTGACCGTGGAAAGGAAAACTCCCTCATGAGGAAGAAACCTCCAGCAGAACCAGGCTCAGGACAAGTGACAAAATGCTTCGACTGGTTGAGGTTGAGAGGAACAGGAAAGAGGAAGAGATAAGGATGGTGTCTGTACTTCTCTGTGGGGGACAAAAAAGCAATGTGAATTCTGTGTCTCCTCTCTTCCTCCAGACTCTGGGACCTTTATTTCCAAAGGAAATGCAACATTTACTGTAATCAGAGAACATAAATTTGGACCACTCAGCAGCAGTCCCAGGTGAGATGATTCTGAAGCTGTTTCTGGTTCAAAAGTGGCTTGACCTGGGGAATGCGGCACCTGTAGCCCATTTCCTGCACACGCCTGTGCACGGTGGCTCTGGATGTTTCTACTCCAGACTCAGTCCACTGCTTCCGCAGGTCCCCCAAGGTCTGGA